ATATATATATATATNNNTNNNTAATTAATTATTATTATTATTATTATATATATATANAAAAGTACAAAGTATTACTTTAATTTATGATCGATCTATTGAATGTTTGACAAATTTTTAAATTTTTCAACTTATTTTATTTTCATAATTGCTTTTCTTGTTTGTTTGTTTTTTTTTATGCAAATATTTCATAAATGATTAGTAATAATAATAAAAATATCAATTATTCATATTATTCGATAATTAATTCATGTTAATTACATTAATAGTCTAACTTATTTTTTTTCATCCGACCATTCTTATTATAATAATATGTATATATATATATATATATATATATCATTTTGATCTTTGAATATAGCAAATATCTTCCTTTTTTCTTCCTTTTTTCGTTTCTTTTTGTATTTGTATTATTATCATTTGTCGATTGATATTATCAATTTATATTATTATCATTTATCCATTAATATTATCAATTTGAATTATTATCATTTATCGATTGATATTATCAATTTCCATTATTATCATTTGTCGATTAACATTATCAGTTTGCATTATTGTAATTTATGGATTAATATTATCAATTCGCATTATTATCATTTATCGATTAATATTATCAATTCGCATTATTATCATTTATCGATTAATATTATCAATCATGGATAAGCTTTATGAACGAAGATTTAATGAGGAACTGCATGAATGGTTGTTGAAAATGTTTCAAATGTAGCTATATCCTTTCAATTTATTTAATGAATTTGTTTAGATGAGATATGTATGTGCATAGAAATATCCTAATCCTTTAATCCTAAAATTTATTTGCTAGGATCTAGTAAGCCAGGATGGTGACAACAACAAACTCCTCATAGGTTTTATCAAAGTATCTTTCTTTTACATGGATTAATTAATATATTATATGGTAAATGAACCCATCCTATCTGTGGACATATTTTTGTTTGATCCATCAGTTGAGATCTATCTGCTACGGGAGATCCTATCGTTGGTATATATCATCTATTAGCACAGCTCACAATCTCATTAGGATATGCAAAGTTCTCTTGTACGACATGTGATAATTAATTAATTATTCATTATGAATTCTTCACAGATAATTTCACAACAACGTGTATATTCATGGCAAAATCATAATGGATAATTAATTATTTAATATCAATAAGCGAATATATTTTTGAATTGATCGTTTCTTTTGTTTTAACTAAAAAAAAAAAAAGAATATATGATATATTTCAATTTTAATCAAACAAAAGTTTATTTTCAATTTTGATGGGTGTTCGTGGAGCAGTTTTAGCAGTGGTGATAGGTTTAATTATTGGATTTTTCAAGACAACAAGAAATGATTATAAATCAAATGGAATGGTACAACAAATTTTTCAACCAATTCGAGAAACTTTTGAGTGAGTTTTTTTTTATTTTTGAAATATTTTTTAAAAATATTTTTTCAATAATTTAAATAATTCAAAAATTTTAAACACTGAAAAACAAATAAATATGTAAATGAAAAAATTTCCCAAATATTTTTAGAAAAAATGAATTTCATTTTTCATACATATGCATTCATTGGATGACAAATATGCATTGTATTTAATCAAAAATAATAGGTAAAAAAAAAAGGAAAATAGAAAATAAAAAATTATTTCAAAAATTTTTTTTTCAACAAATTTGATATAATTTATGTTAATATTAAAGATAATATAATAATTAATGTAATTACTTTTTGTTAATTAATGCGTAATTAATTTGACTAGAAATGATAAATAATAATTTTATTAATAAATAATAAAAATTATTACATTTGTAGTGAAATTTTATCAAGAGAAAAAGAAGGATTAGCATTTGCTGCATATAAAAATGATCAACTTATTGTTGATCTTTGGGGTGGTTATGCTGAAAGGTATTTTACATTTCTTTCATTCTTTCAATCATTTTTTTTTTATTCTATTTTTTAAATCTTAATTAATTTGTAAAATTTTAATTTAATTAATTTACAAAATTTCATTTTAATTAATTCACAAAATTTTACAACAAAATTTTTGTCATTTATAAATGTTAATGATGGATTAATGGCAAAAAAAAAAAAAGAATGCGGTAATTTAGCTTATGGATGAATGATGATGAGTGAAAAATGCTTTCAAAATGATCGAATTTTAAAAATTTTTTTCCAAGTTTTATTTTTTTGAAATTAATCTTTTTTCATTAAAAGGAAATTCAATTGTTAAGTTATTTTTAATCATTACACTCATTTTCTGGCATCAATTTTTTTTTTTTTTACTGTATCATCAAGCTGTATTTTTATTTACTTTCATCCTGCATTTACCTTTTTATTACCTGTATTTTTTTATTAATTAATTTTTTTTTTGTTTTTTTAAAAATTATGATTAGCATAATAATAGAGCTGCATATCGTGAATGGGATCGTGATACGATGACAGTAGCATTTTCGTCAACAAAAGCTGTTGGTGCTTTAATTATTGCAATTCTTGTTAGCCGTGGACAACTACAATATGAAGATAAAGTTAGTTGGAAATTTATTTCACTAATTTCTGTTTTTCATTAATTGATTAAGTTTAATTATTTTAGATTGTTAAATATTGGCCAGAATTTGGTGCTCAAAATAAGGAAAATATTACCGTTCAATGGATTCTTGAACATAAAGTAAATTCTTTTATGCTAAAAATTTTCATAAATTTTCTTAATTTTTTTTTTAATAATTTGACAAAGAAAAAAACTGTTATCAATTCATAGGCTGGTTTAATAGTATTTGATGATGAATTAACAATCGAACAATCTCATGATCATCATTATATAGCCCATATTATTGAAAAGGTTTTTTTTTTTTTTATCTTTTTATTTTCATTATTTTTTATTTTTTCTTTTTTGCAGTATAAAAAGAAAACTAGAATTTGTACAAAATTTTTTTTTTAGAAAACGTAGAAAATCTAAAAAAAAAAGATAAAAATTAGAATTTATACAAATTTTTTTAATAAAGATAGAAATCAATCATAATTTATGATTTTGAAAAAAAAAAAGAAAAGAAAGAAAAGTCATGATCTTCCTTTAATACAGAAAAAAAGAAAGTCCTTTAAAATTTGATTTTTTTATTTTATTAAATAAATGAAATTTAAATTAAAATATAATGGATAAATTTAAGTATTATAAATAATTTTTTTAGATATAATTAAAAAGATATAATAAATAAATGAATAATTTAAATTTAAATTAAAATATAATGAATAATCCTTTTTTTGAAAGAAAATAAAAAATAAAAAAATAAAAAGAAATTTTATTAGACAAAACCGAAATGGCCTGCTGGTACAGCAAGAGGTTATCATGCATTAACATTTGGTTGGCTATTAGATCAAATTGTACGACATTGTGATCCATTAAAACGTGGCATTGCGCAATTTTATCGTGATGAAATTCAGAAATATATGGATGGTTTGCTTGTTTTTTGTTTTTTTTTTTGTTTTTTTTTCGCTATTTCAAAAATTAATTATTAAATATTTTAGTGATAGCACAAATTTTGCTATCATTTGTTTTTATTAGCAAATTATAATGAAATTTTCTTTTACAAAAATTATATCAAACAAATCAATATTTCATATGTTTCTATGTGCATTAAGAAAAACAAAAGTTTTTTTTTCTTTTTTTTAAAGTGAGATTATTATAATTGAAAGGAATTGAATATTAATCACAAACTTACTTTGTTGATCATTTTGTTGCTAAAATAATTGAATGATAATCACACATTTATCATATCATGAGATAACAAAAAAAAATTATATCATATCATGAGGTAACAAAATTAACGAAGATGATCATGAGTTATTAGGGAGAAGAAAAAAAAAAATAACAACTAATAAGAGCATAATTTAGAATCGAAATTACTTCAAATAATTTATGCAACTTTGCAACAAATAATCAATATTCAAAGTAAAGTTTTAATTTTTAATATTTATAATATCATAATTCTCTGTTGTCTTTCGATATAATTAATGAGTTTGATATCACTGTTGAAAATTAATTAGTATGATTTAATTACAGATAAGGATTTCTATTTGGGTTTACCTCGCGATGAACATTATCGTGTTGCTCGAATTATTCAACCAACAATGTTTGAATTTATCTATGGAATGGCTAGCACTACGAAATATTATCTACTCATTTGGAAATGTTTCTTGAGCTTTTTTCGTTGTGAAATATATGCTACCAGCAAATATCCATCATGGCTTAGTTTTCTAGATGTTAGTTTTCAAAATATCAATTGTGATAAGATATGATAAGAAAAGATGACCTTATTGAATGCATTTAATGAAGATACAATGTATTAAAATATAAATGTTTATCGATTTTCATTAATAACTCTGAAGACTTTGATGATTTCTTTTTTTTCTTTGATCTCTTGATCATTCTATTATAATATTCCTGTAGGATGAGATGCCGTATAATAATCCAGCCGTTCGGGAAGTAGAAAATGTTGCAGTATTAGGTATCGGAACTGCTCGAGGGCTTGCAAATGTTGTTTCAACTATTTGGAAGGTTAATTATTTGTTAAAATCTATTATTCAATATAGGCCAAAAATTATAACTTTGCATGTTTGATTAGTTTTAATTGAATTGAAAGGATAAATGATAAGGAATGATAATTGATAATTTGTGTTAACTCATGAGGAAACAATACTATAAAAATGCTTGATAAGCTGAATTCTGATGGAAAATATTTTGTGATTGTTGTGTTTAATTCTTTTCAAAGAGATAATTAAATGAAAAAAGAAAGTAGTGATCCTTCTTTGTTTGTATGATTCTTGATGAATTGCATAATTTATTATGCAAAGAAAAATTGCATAATTTATTATGCAAAGAAAAACTTGTGTATTTAGAAAAATTTAATAAGCGAAGAGATTTGGAAACGATTAAGTATGCCGGTAGAATATGCAAATGATAGAATAACCTATTTCAAGAGCTATCATGGTCATGGTTTCCTCTACAAACCACATCCAATTCGACCAAACGTTCGTTTGCATATTAAAATCAAATAAAATTATTGAAATATCATAATTGACTAATGTTATTTCATATAGCAGATAGCGCATTGAAATATATGCGACGAAATGTCACCTAAAAATGATAGTACATTAAAATTTATCATCGTCTAAATTAATTTCAAATATAACCTCAAAATTCAGGAAGCAAATATCAAATATTATTCCAATTTATCCTTTAGTAACAATTTTCCATTTGCTATTTTCCTATATCATCTATACCAATGATGAGATTAATTAAATCTTATATCATCTATACCAATGATGAGATGTTATCATGAAAAGCTATTAATTAAATGTGGTATAAAAAGTACCTTTTTTGCACATATTACAGAAGTATGTAATGTTTCATCCTGGTCACGGAAGTCAAAACTTGATCATTGATCCGTTCAGTAAGGTATGATAGAACTTATTCATTATCAACTTCTACTAGGGTGCTTTGAAAAAACCAGATGATAATTGAGAATAATGATTACAGACAGTGGTAGTGATGATGAGAAATGCTATAGTATGGAAACGAAGTGCGCTCGATGAAAGTTTTGCTCTGGCAAATAATATCATTCAAATTACTAATATGAATTCTTAAATAATTCAATCTGTGTATTATTAGCTGTAAGTGATTCCTTTTCTTTGTTGTTCCCATTATTTATCACTCTTTTATAAATGCAAGAAATGTAATAAAGAAAAAAACCTTAGCTATTACATCGAATGATTGAAATAGTTTAGTGCAAAATTCTGAGAAGTTAGTGAGAATTGAACTAAAACTAAATTATTGTTCGAAAATCAATTTAAATTTTAGTTTTGAAACTATTGCATAACTAAGTAAACAGTTAGTTTTTACGGTAAATTACCAATTTAATTTCTGATCGGTTTTTCACTTTTAAATTTAAACTAAGACCAGCATGTTTTGCTTAATGTTTTATGGTAGTTTAATCTTGATCTAAGAAATCAACGCAACTTTTATATGCTAATTTTATTTGGAAAAATATCAAAAAAAAGATTTGTTTCTTGCAATTTATATTAAACTTTTATTTAAGTTCAATTTTACGTTTATTAATTTATTTCATATACCTTTATTTGTTTAGTATCAATTTTTACCATATTCATTGACATGAAGGAAATTGAAATTGAAATGATTATTTAAAACGCTAATTTAGATTTGTTCTTTTCAAATTTTAAATATACCCCTGCTAGTCTGATCATTTGAACCGAAAAATCTCCAATATTCGAGGTAATTTCATAGATCAATTCCACACTGCCTTGTTTGAATTTCTCTTTAAAGAGCAATCAGTCACAAATGGTATTAGTTGATTATATTCGATATGAATGACAAGGCTGATAAGATATTCGAAATTCTGAAATATGAAAACAAAATTTTTTGTAATGGATTATGGGTTATTGAAAAAATTTAATGTAACGGATTATGAATTATTTGTTTTTTTTCGGATTTATTAATCTGAAATTTAATTTTATTTTTTTATTTTACTTTTCTATTTTATTTGATTTATTAATTCGAAATTTTATTTCACTTAGTTTTCAATATTTTGATTATTTAATTTTCTAATTCTGTTTCTCATTTCTGGTTATACAATTCATGATGATATGACACCATTTTGTTTTGAATTCTGATGAGTAAGGGCCATTGTGAAGCCTATGCAAAGAGAGAAAATGATGTTTTGGAGTAAATAAAATTTTAATGAAAATACCTGGAAAGCGCATATCCTTACTCCTCCATTATCATTGTGCTAGAATTTTATGAAAACATCACAAATTTTAATCGAAATATCAACCGTTTCAAGATGATAAAATGATGACCATTGACAAAATCGAATCATTTGATCATTTTGGGAATGGAAGTATCTATTTCAAAACCCACTAATGGTAAAAAATTATATGGAAATGAAAAATGGCAAATGTCATTGTTGTGTTTCATGTCATCTTTACTTTTTTTTCAAAAATGGGAATGATCTGCTCAAAGTTTGTGATGTTTCATCTCTTTGTGATGGGAGAATTTATCATCGCTAATGTGAAAACAATACTCATAGCAATTCTACTGCAACATAATTGCATTTTTCATTTTTACTTTCAAAACATTATTTATCCTTTGCCATAAAATTTATGAAATCCAATTAAGATCGAACAAAGCAAAATCACCACTCATAAATTCAATAAATTATTCGAAAAAAAAAAAAACAGAGATTAACGGACCGATTGTTTCTTTCAGATATAGAATATGTTATGAAGCCGAAATTAGGACAGATGAAATATGAGAAAAAGTAGCACTAAATAATTACCGGATTGTTTGATGATGTTTAGAGGAGATTGTCAAAAAATTTCACGGTATCAAACTAGATCTTTTTAATTGCAAGCTAAGATAGTGTTCGGAAGTGAAAATCTTACAGTTTTTAATTCAGACAAAACTTCATTTTTCACCATTCCCATTTCTTTTTTTTTTTGTCACTATCCA